CTCCTGCTGGGTCACTATGGAGAGTGACAGTAAAGCCAGCCTCTTGGGTGAGACCCTGGCCCTGCCCACTCCCAGTCCACCACTCACCTCTCAGCCTCAGTTTCCCCAGCTGGGGACTGGACCAATGATGCTCTGCCTCTCAGGTCACAGTCCACAGGAACAGGAGCCTGGCATGCCCTAGGCTTCCTGTCACTGCAGCTGTCACCTTCGGGAACACAGGAGAAGGGCAGGGACTTACGATGGGGTGTCCTCTCCCACGGAGCTCATGGGCCAGCACCCAGCCCAGAAGGGCCAAGCCCATAATTTGGAAGCAACAACACACCTCATTTTTGGGAAATGAAAGTGAAAGCTAAACTGTCCTCCTCCTGCAGATGCCGGGTTTTGGACCTTTTCATTGGTCAGCATAGATCCCATGCTAATAAGGGGGCAGTTCCAGCAAGTAGAAAGTTCCAGCTCCCTTTCCTGACTCCCTCCCAAGCTTCCCTGCGTCCCTCTGAATGGCACCCACTTCTTGCTGCTATTCCCAACTGCCCACAGATGAGTTCCAAGAGAACCTGGGGGACCGAAAGCTGCCAGTGTGGGTGGGTATCCTGCTGGGCCTCCTGGTGGTCGGTCTGTCTGTGGCAGTAGGCGTTTTGGCTGCCAAGTTCAATAGCCCAGCTTGCAAGGATGGCCTCCCGGCTGAGCAGGAGTGTCGAAACATCACCCACCTCCTGGAGCAGGAGCTGACCCAGGCCCAGGAAGTCTTACGGGGAACTGAGGCCCAAGCTGCCACTTGCAACCAGACTGTGGTAAGTCACTGCCCCTCCTAGAGAGGGCCCTGTGCTTGGGGGACTCCCAGGGTCTGGGTGCTTGGGGATTCCCAGGGTCTCGGTGGAGATGGCGATAGACCTTGAAACGGCCCCTAGGCCCCTGCATGGGGAGCCTGATTTTCCACACCGGGGTTTTGGGGACCTTTAAACTCACTCTGGGGTGCCAGTGCGGGACCCCAGAGCACTCACATAAGGGGCCTCAGTATCCCCAGTAGGATGTGGATGAAACTGCAAACTCCAGGACATTGGTCTAGGGCAGCTGGGAACTCCCCCTGGGCACAGTCTTAGGGAAGCAGAAATCCCCTCTGGGGGGTGGGATGGGGAGCCTGCCAGACTCTGAAGAAGGCAGCGGGCTTTTTTTTTTTTTTTTTTTAGTTTTTTTTTTTGGATATATTTTATTGATTTTTTACAGAGAGGAAGGGAGAGAGATAGAGAGTTAGAAACATCCATGAGAGAGAAACATCGATCAGCTGCTTCCTGCACATCTCCTACTGGGGATATGCCCGTAACCAAGGTACATGCCCTTGACCGGAATCGAACCTGGGACCTTTCAGTCCGCAGGCGACCCTCTATCCACTGAGCCAAACCGGTTTCGGCATTTTTTTTTTAGTTTTTATTTATTGACTAGAGGCCCAATGCACGAAATTCGTGCATGGCAGGTGTGGAGGTCCCTTCACCCCAGCCTGCACCCTCTCTAATCCGGGACCTCTCGGGGGATGTCCTAGTGCTGGTTTAGGGGATCGGGCCTAAACCAGCAGTCAGACATCTTTCTCATAATTCGGGACTAGTGGCTCCTAAATGCTTACCTGCCTGCCTGCCTCATTGCCCCTAAGTGCCACCCCTGCTGGCCTGGTCACCCACAACTTCCTCCCCTGTTGGCCTGGTCATCCACAACTGCCCCCCACACCCAACCTGGTTGCCCCTAACTGCCCTTCCCTGCTGGCCTGGTTGCCCCTTACTATCCCTGCTGCCGGCTTGGTTGCCCCCAACTGCCCCCTCTGCCAGCCTGGTCACCTCCAACTGCCCCCCTGCTGGCCTGGTCACCCCAGGCAGCCTGCTTTTCAGTCGTTTGGTCATCCCTCACTAACCCCCCTGCCAGCCTGGTCGCCCCACGCAGCCTGCTGTTCAGTCATGACAGCCCCTGGCTTTTTATATATTAGGATTGTTACTGGTCGCCCCTCACTGCCCCCCTATGCTGGCCTGGTCATCCCTCACTGCCCCACCCCTGCCACCTGGTCACCCCCAACTGCCTCCCCTGCAGACCTGGTCACTCCATGCACCCTGCTGCTCAGTCATTTGGTTGCCCCTCACTATCCCCCCTGGCGGCCTGGTCGCCCCACGCAGCCTGCTGCTCAGTCGTTTGGTTGCCCCTCACTATCCCCCCTGGCGGCCTGGTCGCCCCACGCAGGCTTTTTGTAGTCCTTTCAGTTTCAATGGTCGCTTAGGCTTTTATTATTATAGATTTGAGAGAGAGAGGAAGGGAGAAAGTGAGAGGAACACTGATTTGTTGTTCCACTTATTGATGCATTCATTGGTTAATTCTTAGCATGTGCACTGACCAGGGATTGAACCCACAACCTCAGCATATTGGGTTGACGATCTAACCAACTGAGCTACCTGGCCAGGGCAAGGCAGGGGCTCTTGATACAGGCACTGCATCATGAAAGGCAGCATGTTAATTGGGGTCTTGATGTGGGGGTCCTTGAAAGTCCCACTGGACATCTAACTTGGGTACAGAAATCCCACAGTGTTCTGGGATTCAGGGGACATCTAACTCTTTTTGGGCAATAGCCCAGGGGATCTGGACATTTCTCCTAGGCTTTGGGCCAAGAGAGCCTCCAAATTCCTAGGAAGGGGGGACTTGAAACTCCCATTTTGAGGATCACATCCTGGGAGGGTGGGAGGCTGTGCTATTCTTCAGGGTGGAGACAAGTTCAGAGAGGGTTGGAAGGAACCCTGAAGGGGTTTGGGCCTGAGCCCCTCTGACTCCAGGGCCTGGAGTGGGGGTCAGGGCCCAGGGACAGTAGCCAAGCCCACCAGGGACAAGACCCCAGTTTGCAACACCCTTACTCTTCCCGGCATCCCAGGAGACCCTGAAGATTTCCCTGGAAAAGCAACAGGAGCTCTTCCTACAGAAGCTTCAAGGTGAGAAAAACACAGGCCTCGGTTGCAGTCAGGGAGTTTGCAGGAGCCGGTCAGGTATTGAAGAGGAGGGAGGGGGAGGGCCTCAGGATTGGGGTCCGGCGTGAGGGACAGGACCAAAGCCAATGGAAGTAGGAAGGGGCGGGCATGCCAGACTTCCAAGGTGCACTCGCTCAATTGGAGGCGGGTTAGAGGCGGGGTCCTTCCGGGGGTGGGGCCAGTTGAGGGGCGTGGCTATGGTGCGGACACACTCTCTGTCCCTACTTAGAGGAGATCAAGACATTGAATCAGTTGCTGCAAAATAAATCCTCAGAGTTTCAGAAGAAATCCGCGGAGCTGGAGCAACTAAGGTCAGGACACTCACCCACCCCAGGCCACGCCCCTTCCTCCTTCCAACCCCAAGACCTAGGATCCCCTTTGGCTCCGAATATTGCCATTGCCCTGGGGACAAAGTAGGAGTCCCAGCCTTGCCCCTCCAGTCACCCAAATCTGGGTGGCAACCGGCGGCTCCCCTGCCCAGTGACCTGGTGGGGAAGGAAATGAGATTTTGAGGGGCTTTGAGCCCAGCACCAGTGGATCCAGACCTGGCAGCCTCCTGAGTTGTCCCCATCTCCACCTCAGAAAAGAGAATGAGGCCTTGGTCTTCGGCAAGGGCCCCACCAACGCCAAGGGCCCCCCCAACGCCAAGGGCCCCACCAACTCCGGGGTCACCCTCCATCTCTCTGTGGCCGCCGTGCTCCTGTCCCTGAGCCTCCTGACTCTGCTGGCCTGAGGTTGCAGGAAGCCTGCTGGTGAGGAGGGGCTGGAGAGGGATGGGAGGAGTTAGGGACAGTCAGGGTTGGGGTGGTGGCCTGCCTGTGGGGAGGAGCTGGGGGCAGGGGAGAGAGGAACCTCAGTGAGGAGCTGTGGGGCAGAAATACAACAGTGGGGACCAGCTGTGTTACCCTATTAACCATGTCTGTTAACTGTGACTGTTCCCTTCTGATTAGGTACATTCTAACCTGGCTGAGAGCTGTTCGCCCAGGGACATGGGGATTAACCTCAGAATGCAGTCCAGGCTCCTTTTCTGAGAGTTTCCTGTCATCTTGGAAAGATAACAACCTGGTCCCAGAGGAGCTCTCTCCCATTCACCCAGAAATCCATCCTAATAAACTGTCATAAGATTCAACCCTGTGTCTGCTTAATAATTGACTCAAGGAGTGACAGGCACCCAGGCCCATCTGTGTCGGGTTCAGAGGGAGGGGTCCAGGCAGGAGTGGGGTGAGGCTCATGGAGGGGTTGGGGCGAGTTCTGTCTGACTCAGCCTTGTTGTCTCTTAGGCCACCTGGACTCGCCTGCTTCCCTCTGGGTTTCCCTGACCTGGCAGTTCTGAGGGACAACATGGCTGTGGGGAGGGGACGGTTAGGGGGAGGCCAGGAGCCAGGTGGCAGGGGGTGGTTCATGGGGCAGCCTTAGAGGTGGGGACGCATCAAAGTTGGCCCAAGGCTGCCACCCCCCCACACCTCCTGGCTGGGCAGGTCATGAAGTGGGAGGGGGCACCTGTTCTTTGCTGTCATGGTTTCTGGAAGGTAACTTCTTCTGGGGTCTTTGGGTTCCACAAAATAAGCATCCCCTTTGGGGGAAGGAACTTACTCTGTAGTTCCTGGAGGATCACTGTGTCAGTCCCAAGCACCTGGGACCCCTTGATGTCTACACCAGCCTCCTTGCTCCAGAATGTTCCCAGAAGCCCACAGGGTTTGGTCAGGTACCACCCCACTGCCTACCCAGCCCTCTTTTCTGATGGATTCACCCTAAAGGGCTGTCCACCCTTTCCCCACCCCCATCGGTGCTCACTCAGTGCTCAGCATTCTAGTCTTATCTCCTCACCCAGCTCCTGAGGCTCTTGTTCCCCATCCGTTTCCATGGGAACGGAGGCTGTGAGGAGAAGGACATCTTGTCTTGGTTCCCCATCCCCTCCCATGGAAAGTGCAGGGCTGGCCCCGGTGGGTGTGGCTCCGTTGGTTGTGCATCTTCCCAAGCACCAAAAGGCTGCCAGCTCATTTCCTGGTCAAGGCACAGGCCCGGGTTGCAGGCTCCTTCCTGGGGAGGGGGCTTGCAGGATTCAGCCAATCCATGTTTTGCTCTCACATAGATGTTTCTCTCTCTTTCCCTCTCCCTTCTCCTCTTCCCTCCACTCTCTCTAAAAATCAGTTAAGCCCTGGCTGGGTAGCTCAGTTGCCAAGGTCACGGTTCCATCCTCAGTTAGGGCACAGACAAGGATCAATCAGTGAGAGCATGAGTAAGTGAGACAACAAAATGATGTTTCCCTCCCTCCCTCTCTCTAAAATCAATCAATCAATAAAAAGAAAAACCGCCATAACCGGTTTCACTCAGTGGATAGAGCTTCGGCCTGCAGACTGAAAGGTCCCAGGTTCAATTCAGGTCAAGGACATGTACGTTGGTTGCAGGCACATCCCCAGTGGGAGGTGTGCAGGAGGCAGCTGATCGATGTTTCTCTCTCATCGATGTTTGTAACTATCTCTCTCCCTTCCTCTCTGTAAAATATCAATAAATATATATTTTTAACAAAAAAGAAAGAAAGAAAAATCAATTAAATACATACAGGCAGAAAGTGCGGGGCTGGGATTCACACCTGGATCTGCAGACACACCCAGGCCAGGCATTAGTCACAATGTACCTCCCTCCTCCATCCCCCAAATTCTTACTCATCCTGCAGAGCCCACCCCCAGAGAGCCTGCTTCTCCAAAATGGAGGCCTCCATCCTGAGAGACCCTTCACCCACCCTCCTGGATCCTCACCTGCCCCCTAATTCCTTCCTCTCTGTTATCCTAGTTTCTCCAACTTCTCCTGGAATCCCAACTATTGTCCATGAAACTTCCTGTGCATGGCACTGGGTCAGGACCCTTCTGTCTGCCCAAAATTCTGCACTGCCCTCAGGTCCTGCAGTGCCCAGATGAGGTGGTCAATAGATCCCCCTCTATGGCTCCTGCTGTCCACCCAGGGACCCCCAAAATCATCCCTGCCACAGGCTCCCCTGGCCTTTTTCCCACTCCCCTCCTCTCCTGTGTTCACAACTCCCCACCCTCCCAGACCATTTCTCTGTCAATTTCCTTCCTGCTTCACTCTTTTGGGGAAGCATGGGTCTTGGTGGAAAGTTTGTAAGGAGGACATTGGAGAAAAGGAATGTGTGCTGATGGCGGCCCACCCTATTTATCAGAATTCCGACTTAGGGGAGTGCTGAAGGTGGTGCCCCTAATTATTCCTTGACCTTTCCAAACAACTCTGTGCTCCTGCAGACCCCCGAGTGTTTACTGGAATCTTTATGCTTAATCTTTAGATGTCCTTGCTTAAAGGACACTGCCAACACATGTGTCCTCCCAAGATTACTTACCTACTGATTGTATCTGAAAGATAAACTTTATTTCAAAGTGCTGTGACAATAAAATCCTGAAGAGGCAGGTGATTGAGGCTGTCTGGTTCCTTTAGCCAGGCAGTCCCTTAGCCCTCTCTTTCACTGCAAACATTGTGTCAGAGTTATCATTCATCTGATGATCAGGGTCTGCTGGTCATCCCAGGCAAGGTGGTGCCCCATGTGAGGACCAAGGATGCTAGGAGTCGTGGTGGAAACATGGAAAAGGAAGAGGAATGAAATGAAAGTAACTGCGCAGTAAGTCATTGGAGCTCACTGTGGATTTCCAAGTTCCAGGGTATGTTTGTCAGCTAAGGTTTTACAACGGGACAGAAGTTGTCTGTAAAACAACAACAATATGTAACAGTGCTTAAACAGTTGTGAAAGGTGAATGGTGCCTCAGTTACCAAGAAACAATTAAAGGGCCTTTTGCAGACTGTCATAACTTACAATCCTGGGTTCCCTGATGCTGGAACATTAGACCTGGATCTCTAGGAACAAGAAGGTAGGAATTTAAAGAGAAATCAGGCCCAGGGAAAACAAGTGCCTTTGTCATCTGTAATTATGTGGGCTCTGTTGGAGCTGCACTGTGCCCACTTCATATTGAGGATCAAAAGCCTTGCCCTAACCTGTTTGGCTCAGTGGATAGAGCATCGGCCTGCAGACTGAAAGGTCCCAGGTTTGATTCCGGTCAAGGGCATGTACCTTGGTTGTGGGCACATCCCCAGGAGGAGGTGTGCAGGAGGCAGCTGATGGATGTTTCTTTCTTATCGATGTTTCTAACTCTCTATCCCTCACCCTTCCTCTCTGTAAAAAAGCAATAAAATATATTAAAAAAAAAAAA